ATGTAGTACAATTTAGGCACAGAGTAAGTGCTCAACTCTCGCACAAACAAAATTAATTGGGAGTCCAAATCACAGTGAAAAACACTCCCCAAACATGTCACAACAGAGCTAGGGCTTGTGAATATGCACGTGTGTTCCCAAAACGCCATCACCACTACAGGCACGAGCACTCTGCACCCTTAGGTTATTCACACACGTCTATGTGATAATTATTTACCTCCTATTTCCTTCTGAAAACACCTCAAAGCTATTCTAATTCCAATGATGCTCGCCACCAGGGTTTGGCTGGAGGAGTCCCTGTCCTGCTACTGTCCCTCGCTTGCTGGAGAGACGTATCCACTTTATCCCACACATAAAACACCAAAACAGGTCTCAGAGATCACCTGCTCCACCTGCGGGAAAAGTAAACTAAGAGCTGAACTTCAAAGCGAAATTCTGGGGAGAACACCTAGCAGCAGCAGGCCCAGGAGACTGGCAGGCACCTCGTATTAGACGACTTGGCAGATGGGGCAGGGGGCAGGTAACGCCTTCTTTAACATCCTCTGACGGGAACACATCAATCTCAGGTTGGGCTTCTCAACGGAGAAGGAGGAGAAGGACATCAGTAACAGTGACGATGTAAGATATGGATGACGATGACGACGACGGCAGAAGGTAATTAGGGAAAGCATGCGCTACATTATTCTGGCGCTTACTATATATAATCTCTTTTATTTCGTACATTGTCTCACTTAATTCTCATAAAAAAACATCCCAGTGAAGTAGGTATCATTGTGACACTCCCCCCCCCACCCCAATGTTAAAAAGAAACTGAGGCTGGTCAGTAACTTGCCCAAGAAGCCCCCCAGCTAGAACACGACAGAGTGGATTCGAGCCCAGTCCATGCGCCCTCAGAGACCGGGTTCCAGAGGGCGGAGGATGGATGCAGTCAGCTCGTGATTGACAGCTGAGTCACGACCTGCAGAGGCCAAGGGTAGAGCTGGGGGTGGGACAGACAATGGCTATAAGTCGGGCGGGCCTAGGGGTGGGTCTGCCATTGCTCTGGCCCTTCCAGGGGGAGTGTGACCTCCAGCTGGACATGACGGCCAAACAAACTATTGTGTGCCGCTTTGCAGGAAGCTGTTTGAAAAGGTCATTGAAAAATAATCTTACTAAATCAAGCTGTACCAATATTTTTATTTCCTTTCATGCAATGCCACGTTTAAAGGCATTAGGTGGGCCTGTTTATAAAGCCTGGGAAACAAGTCTGTGTGACTCGAGCTGAGAAAAACAAAAGCGGTCTCACTCTTAAAGCAAAGAGCACAGCGTCAGCTGGTGCTCCTCCTTCTCAGAGCAAGGCCTTGCGCTCAGCACCTAATGGATGTTTGACAAAAAAAGCCCCTCAAATGCAAAACACTTTTTCAGAGGAAGGTCACACGTCCTGACATTTAAGCATGTTAAATCATCTTCTCACGGTTCTACAGTTTTTCTTTTTAAAGAAAGACTTAAGAAATTGGTATACAGACTTAGGATGATTAACTATGTGGTTTATAGTTTATTTTTTAGATAAACGACAAATCGCTGTCACTTTTCTAGGAAATGGCTTTATACAGTGTTAGTAGACAAGAGAAATTCAGAGACCCCATCTCTCAAGCATCCCCCAACCTCCACTCTAAGCTATTACACCTGAATTAAGACAAAGAGTGTTTAAAGAGGTTAAAAAAACAAAACCTTGAACCCTACAGATCTATTGGACGCGGGGGTCCATCCACGTGTGCACCATCCACCTCTCCCCAGAAAGCGTGTTTTGATGGTGAGCAGGGCAGATAGAACACGGAGGCCCCCAGACTCACGATGGACCCTGGAGCGAGGAAGCAGAGAACAGAGTAGGAAAAGCAGAAGTTCCCCACCTTTGCCATGAGCCCAAGGATCAACCGAGAAACAGGAACCCCAGAGCTGTAGGCGGAGAGGAACCCCGAGAGCAGTTCTACAGGCCTCCAAGGAAGGTCCCCTGCTGGGCCCAGCAGCCAAGCAGAGGTGAGGTTGGTGGAAGCAGGGTGCACAGCTCCCCCCGACAGGGTCCCCCCACAGCTGCCCGTGTGCTGCAGAAGCCAGGAGAGCCCCAGCTCTTCTGAAATGGACGGGCTTGCTACCCGAAACCAGAGAACGTACACATCAGACAAATGGCTGATAACTTTAAACTAAAATCCTAAAGTCACTACAAAATGCCCATTGTGAGGGAGAAAAAGTACTAGAAGTCATATTGTCTCGGAGACTCCCAAACACTGCTGCTGCTTTGTAGCATTTCATATTATCTACGTTTACATCATTTGAATATGTTACTGGTCGGACATAACCTGCAATTACACCTGTGAGGAAAATACCTCTTGAGAATAGCTTCCTTCTTATAAGACAAAGGCAAGAGCAGGTCCCCACGGTTGGGGCTGTCTGTCTGGACGTCACCAGTCCCACCTAAGTGGGATGTCAGTTCAGTGAGCGCAAAGCCCAAAGGCGTGTTGCCATCCGAAGTCTGGCCGCAAAGACAGGCAAAGAGGTTTGAAGTTTGCAGGATGTGTGTATAACTGAGGCCTTTCTTGCTGGCTCTGCCTATTAAATAAGACTATTTTCTTAATGAAAGGAAGAGGCCGGCAAACTAAAGATAAAAACTGGGTTCTTACAAGTACAATGATGATGTTTCCTTCTTCTCTTTTGGTGCAAAAAAATAAGGAACTTAATTGGTTACAAAAGCAAAAAGCTGACACCTACAGATTCTCCCTGAAGATGGACTCATCCATAGTGATGGTGATAACAGACACTTCTTAGGAGGGTCACCCGGGGTCTTGTTACAATGCTCACCGATTCAGGGGGTCCGGGGGGCGGGGCTGAGAGTCTGCATTTCTAACGAGCTTCCGATGCTGCTGCTCTGCAGGCCATACTTTGAGTAGCAAAGGTCTACAGTTTGCCAAGAACTTTTCTTGTTGGTTCTCCAACCTGTCCCCGGGGATGAGGCTATTATAAACTGGTGCAAAGAACAGAAGTGCCAGGTTATAGACCATGTGCCACTCGAAATGCAATTGGCTCCCAGGCTCTTATCGACTGGTTCCTTCTGGCCTTTTCTGGAAATGTTTGCTACTTGCTTGGCACTAGAAAGCTCAACCAGGGCCCGTAGTGTGAGTGAAAGAATGAACACACACACACACGAAAGAAGGAAGACGGAAGCTGAGTGTACTCGGCTCCCAGCTGGCCCCCGTGCCCATTCAGACCGTCTTGTAAAACTGTCGGCAGGCCATGTAGGGAGATAGGGGAACAGTGCAAAGCCATCAGAAAGAGGGAGGAAGATGGGGAAGTAAGACGAGCAGCAGCTAACTTTTGGGGATCACTCAGCGCCTGACATGGCATTAAGTCTTTTACATCAACTGTCTACTTAATCTTTTTCAAAACTTCTGCGGACTAGGGATTATAAAGATTCCCACTCTATAGTCTAGGAAACTGAAGCACAAAGAGGATTAGTGACCCAAAATAACCCGCTTAGGAAGGAGGGGGCGGGCTCCAGACTCAGGCTGTCTGAGCCCCACACGACAAGCCCTGTTCCATGGCAGCCTCCTTCCGTGAGATCCCACAAGCGGTTAGTAACCCCAAGTTGGCTTAACTGTGCGGCCTCTCAGAGCTGATATTAACACAGCTCCAAAGACCTGGTCGATATTTCCAGCGCCTGTGTTTTTATTACACGGAGACACCTAAGTACATGGGCTTCGTGTGTTTACCAGCTTTGTCTGGTAACTGCAGTGGATACCGACAAGACGATTGTTTTTAGAGAAGTAACATTTTTAAAATTTCAAGACCAGACCCAGAATCTTCATAAACTCTTGGCCCCTAGTATGCTTTGATGGCTGGGTACATATTAAGAATTAATATAACCAATTAAGAATTACTATGACTCGCGTGCTCTGGCATTTAGAAATCCCGTCCACTACACTAACTCACTGGGGTCTCGTGTCGCTTCTCTGAGGTCAGGCAGCAGCACTGTCCTCATTCTACCTGTGGCGGCAATGAGGCCGCCAGGATGTTAAAATTCAGAGCCAGAGCTCAGGTCCCTCCCTCCCCTCACGTCATGGCCTGGTGCTTAAAAACTTAATTTGCTTTAGTGACAAATAAAATAAATTCTACAAATAAAATAATAGCAATTGGTGCTCATCTCTCTAACCAGGTTCTTTTTTGTTAACGGGATAGATTCTAATTAATGCCCAAAGTCACATACTTGGGGAGGGTCCTGAGCTACCCAGGGGAGCAGCTCAGTATGAGTTGGGGGTGCCCATGCGTGGTACTTGGGAGCCTGGCCCCCTTGGCCCCTGCCCAACCCGCTTTATAGAGCCTACCCCACCTCGCACACAGAACTCGAACCCACAATCGGCCAAGGATCCCAGCTGCGGGCCAGAGACACACCAGGTCACCTCCTCCGGCGAGTGGTGAAAACATTCGTCTGTGGTGGGAGGAGTTTCCCAATCCTCAGGAGGGACCTAAAAAGAGTCTCGAATTCGTGAACTTGCCTCTGAACTAGAAAAGGCACAATGGCGTTCACTTTCTTACTCTGCCACTTAGTTCATTTTCTTTGGGCGAGTTATGTAAACACACCGGGTCTCAATTCTATCATCCGTTTGCCCAGATAATGACACATACATGCAGAGGTTGAGCGGAGTGGCCAGCACAGAATCCGGTACACGGGCGGCGTCCAGTGTGTGGCGTCTCAAGGCACAGGGACCCTGCTTCGGAGCTGGGCCCACAGCAGGGCAAGCCTCTGCTTCCACACAGCCCTGAAGCGCCAAGCGAGGTCAGGTTCGCAAGCGTCAGTGGCATATGAACAATGTGGGGGTCTTGATGAAAAGTTTGCATGGTTAAGAATATGAAATAACTGACCGATTTGCAATAAGTGCTATCTCTGGCGACAAGGAGTTGAATTTTTCTGGTGTGTGGCCCTCTGCTCAAAGTTTGTGAATGTGTGGTAGAAAGAGTAAAATATTTACCTTTTCCAGGGCCTCTCTGTCAAGTAGTTCTTGCACAGCTAGAAGCTTGATGCTGTAAAAAAAATTAAAAGCACACTTGAAAAAACAGCACTTCATGCCACCGAGCATCACACAGGTCACAAGAACTAAAGTCTGAAATTTCAGCCTGCATTTCTACGTCACCTCCCATCTTAAGGTGGCCTTTGGCTTGAACTGAAATGACCATTTCAGAACCATTAAAAATGTTTCTAAATTGTAAAAGTGATTTTACCGTATGATCTAGCAATCCCGCTTCTGGGCATATACCCCAAATATCTGAAAACATAAGACTCAAACAGATATTTGCACATACTCATGTTCATAGCAGCATTATTCACACAATCGCCAAAGGTGGAAACAACTAAAGTATCATCAATGCATGAATGGATAAACAAAACATGGCACGTACATAAAATGGAATATTATGCAGCCTTAAAAAGAAGGAGATTCTGGCACATGCTTCAGCATGGATGCCCCTTGAGGACATTATGAAATGAAATAAGCCAGACACAAAAAGACAAATGCTGTATGATTCCACTTAGATAGGGTATCTCAGGTAGTCAAATTCAGAGACAGGAAGTAGAATAGGGGTTCTCCGGGGCTGGGGGAGGGAGAAATGGGGAGTCTGTTTAATAAGTCCATAGTTTCGGTGTGGGGTGAGCTAAAAGTTCCGGAGATGGATGCCGGTGACAGCCGCACGAGGTGAATATACTCAATACCACTGAACTGTACATTTACAAATGGCTAAAATTAGAGTTAAGTGTTATGTACACGTCACCACGAAAACATTCTAAAAGTAATTGATAGCTGCTTCATGCAAGGAATCCGAATAAATTCATAGGATATGAAGAAGAAAACAGTTGCCCATGTTCTGTATTAATCTTCCCCTAATGTCCCTTTGATGAAAACAAGCAAAAGGCTAAAATCACAGCTTGCAAAGAGGGCCTGCTCAGCCGCCCATCGACGCTGCCTACTATGTGCTGGTAGCTGTGGGTGCACGATGCCAATGACATGCTCCCTGCCCATGAGGAGGTCATAGCCTCTTGGAGGCCATGGTCAGACCAGAATATGACGTGCGGTGTGCCAAGTGGACAGGCTGAGACTCACAGAGGAGTCCAGCTCGGCAGAGGTCAGAGACGGCTTCCTGGAAGAGGGATGGAATTAGCCTTGTCAGTGGGGGAGGGGCTGGGAGAAAGGCCACCTACAGGGGGACTACAGAGGCAAAGGCACCAAGGGAAGAGAGAAGGCGTGGGGTGGACACACCCTGCCAGATTCCAGTTTAGGGGCCAGAGCCCAGGCTGCAGCCAGCAACCGAGACGAGAAGGTTCAGAAGTAGATGCAGGTGTCATGGGGGAGGTATTTTCCCTTTGTGACAAGTGACTTTTGAGGTGTTCACGGACACAATGAGCAGGCATCCAAGGCTGGACTCCTCAGCACACAGAAGGAAGCAGGAGGGTTCAGCAAGATTGTTTAGGGAACAGGCCAGCTGTTGGTGTTCCTGTGTTCCCTCTTTACCCAACTAATCTGTTTATGGTGGCTGGTCACAATGTCCCCTGTCCCCACCAACCTGCACGGGCTGTCTGGAGCAGAAATGGGCACCCCCGTGCCACACACCTCCCACAGAAGGGGCTATGCCCACGATAAGGTTCATCTTTCCTTACAGAATTCTTTGTAACCTCTACGTACAACTTGGCGAGCACTATCCAACCAAATGCAATGATCGACTTAAAAGCAACTCCCGGAAGTGCCATAAAGGTTTTAAAGGCTTACGAGAAACCACTACTGTCACCAAGAACAATTTAGCAAACATCAGGGCTGATGGACAGGATGCGCGGGCACATCCTGTCCATCAGTCCCACTGACTTCCCTTCATCTCTCGCACACGTTTGCTTGTGCTGCTCCTCTGGCTCGGAAGGGTCTTCCCCCAGAGCTTTGCAACACAGACTCAAACTCATTGCATCAATCCGCTCCCAGTGCAAACGCCGCCTCCTCCAAGCAGCGTCCCTGGTCACCACATTTTCTTTTGTTCAGAGCACTTACTGGTATCGTAAAGCATTTATTTGCTGGGGTGCTCTTGTCTGTTTCCTCCTACCCAGCACAGACGTTCTCTGAGGCTGGGGGCACTCACGGGCCTTCTCACCACTATGTCTGCAGTGTCCGTAACTGACACGTGGAAGGCAGCGCTCAAGGCTTGTTTACTGGCCTCCCGCAGGGCCCAGAGGCCCATAAGCCAAGTCGCGATGATAGCTCACCCATTGCAGCTTGCAAAGGTAAAACCAGTGCAAAGCCTTAGTTTCTCTATCTGAAAAAGAATGCCCCAAATGACACGACTGTCCCTTGGTGAGAGGTGCTACGTGCCTTTGTGTTAAACGCCTGCCATTAACGGGATGTGTCTGGTGACAGGTGAAAGCTACTGGCTACTCAGCACATTCTGATTCCAACGTACAAGTCTAGATTCTAGGTGGCCAATCCGGACAGCAATTTATAGGCTAAGGTCTTTCCTGTCATGACTCAAGTCTCTGAAGCTTAAATTGCTTCTGAGATAACCACCGAAAAATATTTATGTATATT